ATAGTTACTGTTGTATAGCAAATTTTTATCTCCCCTCTCGCTCACCTTTCCCCTCCCACTCTGCTCTCTCTCGCCTCTCTCCTTCACCCCCCCCCCCTCTCTCCCAAACAATGTTCAAATATATATATTGTATCGATTGTATCAATTCGTACCATTAATTTACAACTTGATACAACAAATATAACATGTATTCATCATCTCTGTGAAATATAGGTGAGATATTTTTTTTCTTCTAACTATTTGTATCCAATATCATATACTGACAACTGTATTTGTATTTGTGTCAATTGTATTTCTATTTTGTATCAATTCATGTATCACGATAATTTGTATTTTTCCCCATTGTATAAGTTGATATAATTGTATTAGTCAATATAAATTATATTTGTTAATACACTTAATATAATTTTATTCAATGATACAAATAAATTGTATCAATAGTATTCATGATAATACAGCAAATAAAACATGTATTCATACTTTCTCTCTTCTCTCCCCAAATTTCGCTAGTCTCTCTCATCTTTCTAACATATAGCTAAATGTAATACTTTCAATACAATTGTATTCGTTGATACAAAGCAATTGTAGTCATAAAAAAAAATCTCATTAAACACATAAATGATCTTTAAGCACAAAATGACATTAAATACCAACAAACAATGGGATGGTTTAAAGAATTACAAGCTAAATCAATATATGTATAGATTACTTGTCACCCCATTTTAAACCAAACCCTTTAGTGCTTAGTGCAATCAGTAGGCAAAAATGAAACTTTGTTAGCCACAAGATCAAATCCAATGAAGAAATTCTTTTGTGCCAAGTTCCCAAATATAGCAATTTCATCATTAGGCAGCATTGTGAAACAAACCAAACATTCATCCAATTGTGTAAATGTGTTTGTTGTTGGCAACTCTATATCTGCATTTGTAAAATGTGCAACAATCTTGGGAACATTGATAGTAGTGCCATTCTGAGACTCATAACATAACTTTAAGAACCCAGACGGATCATTCTTCCTCGTAGCATTAATCAAAGACACCAATGTTTTCTCCAAATTCGCGTAAAAGTCAAAAGGAACAAACGTATATGTTGTCCCAGAATCAATTATAATGTTACCTTGATCGTTGGGACTAACTTTAGAAGATCTGAATGGCAAAGTCTTATAATTTCCAATGCTAATACTTTCCAAAGTTAGATAATAGAAGCTTGGTTCCTCTTCACTTAATATCAAGGGAGTTGAAACAACATCAGGACCTGACATGACAGCGTTGTCACCAAAGTTGATATGACTAGACATGTTGGAATTAGTTGATGATTCCAATGGGATGAAACAATATGAGAATTTTCCCTTTGATTTCTTTATTCATTTGGTTGACAATTGAGACATTGCCACCACCTAAGCCAATGATGTGAGATAAAAGGCATTAGTGAAACTACCTCTATTGGCATGTCCACAACAAAGACAATTATTTTCACCACAAGTAGAAGCAAATGTGAAAGTTTCAATAAAAAGATCACCTATGTCGTTATGAGATTGGTCATCATAAATTGCTTCATAATTGCATGTATTATTCTTACATGTGAGAAAACCATCATCTACTTGACAAATTTTATTGTTACAACCAATAGTCTTGTAAGAAGAGCTATTCTTGGGATTGAAAACAGGTGCCAATTGTTTGAAGCAATCAATACAAGGCACACATTGTGTCCATGTCAAGTCACTAGCAGTATAGTATCAACGATGACAAGAATGTCTATAGGGGGAGTTCCAATTGAGATTTTCATGAGGTATCCATCAACAGAGGTTGTAATAATACTTGGTTGGATTGCATTGACAATTTTTTTTCTTGAAGAAGGAAGCGCGGGAGAGTGAGTGGTGGAAGGCATTTTGAAGGCATTCAAATGGAGTGTTTGATGGATTGTAAAAAGGTGAAAGAGGAGAATCGTGATGGATAAGATCCAGAGTGAAGCCATCAACACTTTTACGACAAGCAATCAAAGAAAGATGAAAGAAAGATAAAAGGACTAACATAGGCATAAGAGTGAAAGCTTTAATCTTCATGACTAAGGAATTGGAGAGTTGACAAGATTTTCGAGAATGATGTAAAATGAGCCAATGTTTGGTACCATTTTATAGGTAATAAAATCTAACTTCTTCAGTAATTAATTTACCCTATTTAGTATGTTTTTATCTTATTTTAATTTTTAATAATAATCTTTTAACTTATTTACCATCAATGAAAAATAATTATAATTTAACTAATTATTTCTTTATTGCTCCTCTTTCTAAGAAAATAATTTAAGCTTTGTTCAAAGAAAATTTTGCTTGTCCTTTTCTTAACGACACTTTTCTTTTTCTTTTTTTGCCTCCTGACAAATTTTAGCAATCTCTTCCTTTTTTTCTTTATTAGGATTTGTCCCGAATTCCTTACTTTATTTGAATTCTATTATAATTGCATTTCAATCCAAAAAAGGTTTCTAATTTGTATATTAAAAGGTTTTCTTGGTGCAAAAAATATGATTTTACTTTAACCATTCAACCACACCCCATATATGTTAGCACATAACATTTGACAATTCCATTATAAATTAACATCCATACGTTTTAATATGAAGAAACGTCATAATTATCATTTTCCTCATTTAAGCAAATATTATATTTACTTTTATTAGTTAAATTAAGGGGACATATATATACGCTTATATGTGCAACGCATGTCACTAAAAAACATTGGGGGAATTATACCACGAAGATGAGATCTCCATTAGTAAGCATCACATAGAAAGTATTAAGACATCAAGAAATGACAAATAAAATTTGAACTAATGCTAACAACATTAATACTTAGTACAATCTGTACGTTTAAAGGACACTCTGTTAGCCTTAAGATCATATCCAATTAGAAAATTGGCTTGTGCTAAATTTCCTAAAATAGAAATTTGATTTCCTCCTGGGACTATTGTCAAACAAACTATACCTTCCTCCACTTGTGTAAAAATGTTTGAAGTTGACAACTCTAAATCTGCATTTGTAAAATGTGCAACAATCTTTGGAACATCAATAGTACCATTCTCATTAGACTCATAACACAAATCAAGTCCCCCATAAGTACCATCCTTCCTAGTAGCATTGATCGAACGCATCAACAACGATTCCAAATTCAAGTAAAAACCATCAGGCACATATGTTAACGTTGTGCCAGAATCAATTATAATGTTGCCTCTATCATAACCCGCGGGTTGAGAAATCGGAGAAGATATGAATTCTAACGTCTTGTTTCCAATGCTGATACCTTTCAAATTTAGATAATAGAAGGTAGATGATTCCTTTTTAATCAAGGGAGTTGAAACAACATCAGGACCAAATACAATCGTACAGTTGCCAAAGTTGATGTGACTAGTTGCATTGGAATTATCTAACAATGATTCCAATGGGATCAAACAATAAGAGAATTTCCCTATGATTTGTTGATGCATTTGGTTGACAATTGAGACATTGCCACCACCTAAGCCAATGATGCCAGAAGTGGTATTGGTAAATGTGCCACCATTGTCATGTCCACAACCAAACACAATGTTAGGAATTGAAACATTTTGACCAGAAGTAGAAGCAAATGTGAAAGTTTCAATAGAAAGATCACCCATAGTGTGAGATTGGTCACCATAACTCACTTCATAATTACATGTATTATTGTTACATATAAACTCTTGACAAAGTTTATTGTTACAACCAATAGTTTTATAAGAAGTACTATTCTTGGGATTGAAAATAGGTCTCAATTGTTTGAAGCAATCAACACAAGGCTTACATTGTGTCCATGTCAAGTCACTACCAGTATCAGCAATGACAAGAGTCTCTATTGGGGGAGTTCCAATTGAGATTTTCATGAGGTATTCACCTCCATTTGGAATAAGAGTCGATTGGATTGGATTAACATAATTTTTCTTTATAAAGGAAGCTCGGGAGAATGACCGATATAAGGCATTTTGAAGGCGTTCATATGGAGTGTTTGATGGGTTGTGAAAAGGTGAAAGAGGAGAATCGCGATGGATAAGATCCAGAGTGAAGCTATTTACATTTTTACCACAAGAAATCAAAGAAAAATGAAAGAATGATAAAAGAACTAACATTGGGATAAGAGTGAAAGATTTAGAATTAATCTCCATGGCTAGAGGAGTTGACAAGGTTATTGGAGAATAATGAGAAATATTGATGTGAGATGAGACAATGTTTAGTACCATTTTATAGATTAAAAAAATGCATATCAAGAGACTAATATAGAAATTAATTAAGTTAAACAGTATATGTCAAGAGACTAATATAGAAATTAATTAAACAAATGTGTATGTCAAGAGACTAACAGAGAAATTATTTTTAAAAATGTATGTCAAGAGACTAATGTAGAAATTAATTAAGTAAAAATAATGGAATAGGGGATAAGGTGAGATTTTGTTACCATTACCAATTTTGTGAAGTTGAATTTCACTTCCCATCAAATTATGTAATTAAGAAAATACTATATTTTATTAGATTCATTCCATATATACTCTTTTCTTTTTCTTCCATAATTATTTTTTTACTTTTTTGGCAATACAACTTGATAATCATAAAAATAATTTTACATAACAACCATTCAAATTTGATTTCAAAATAGTAATTTGCGATATTACGTTTACCGGCCTTAGTTTGATAATTAATAAAAGATAATTCATTCGTTAGCATAAGATTGAAATATATAAAAGACACATCAAGAGAATTGATCAACAACATTAATTTGAATTAAACTAATTATAATAACATTGATCAAAAGACCAAACTAGTAAGAAAACTAACACTAGTTAGCAAACACAAATTACTTAGTACTTGGTACAATCTGCTGGCTTAAAGGAGAGTTTGTTAGCCACAAGATCATATCCAATTAAGAAATTTCCTTGTGCCAAGTTTCCAAATATAGCAATTTCATCTGCAGGTACTATTGTAAGACTAAACCAAACCTTGCTCAATTTCTGCAAACGTGCTCGATGGCGATAACTCTAAAATCCGCATTTGTAAAATGTGTAACAATCGTTGGAGCATCGATAGTACCATTCTCAGACTCATAACATAGACGAAAAGTCCCTGATGGATCTTCCTTCCTAGTAGCACTAATCGAATCCACCAATGTTGATTCCAAAGACGAGTAAAAGTCGTTAGGTAGAAAAGTCAACGTTGTGCCTGAATCAATTATAATGTTGCCTTCCTCACCTCCCGAGCCAATTTTAGAAGATTTGAATTTCAACGTCTTATTCCCAACACTAACTCCTTCCAAGTTAAGATAGTAGAAAGTGGATGGATCTTTTTTAATCAAGGGAGTTGAAACGACGTCAAGGCCGGATACGGTGGCACTACTCCCAAAGTTGATGTGACTTGTGACATTTGAAATTGGTGAATCTAATGGGATTGAGATTAAACAATAAGAGAATTTCCCATTTATCTCTTTATCCAATTGGTTGATAATTGAAACTTCACCACCACCTAAACCAATAATACCAGACGTATAATTATTAAACGTTCCACCATTATCATGACCGCAACCAAATGCAACATTGGGAATCGCGATATCTTTACCAGAAGTAGAAGGAAAAGTGAATTTATCAAAAGCAAGGTCACCAATAGTGTGTGATTGATCACCATAACTCATTTGATATTCACAAACATTTCCTTTCACACAAGATGAACTCCCTATTGATGTACATTCTTCAACGTCACACCCCGCGGTTTTATAAGTAGAGCTTTTCTTCGAATCAAAAAGAGGTGATGATTGTTCAAAACAATTTTCACAAGGCTTACATTGCGTCCATGTTAAGTCACTACCCGTATCAGCTATAGCTACAATTTCAACCGGGGGGGTTCCAATTGATAATTTCATAAGGTATTCACCAGGGATTGGTGAAATATCTGATTGAATTGTGTTGGGAGTAGCAAGAGAACTCTTCTTGAAAAAAGAAGCACGTGAAAATGATCGATGAAAGGCATTTCTAAGTCGATTTGATTGAGTGTTTGATGGGTTATAAAAAGGTGAATGAGAAGAATCACGATGGATAAGATCAAGGGTGAAGCCATTTTCAACACGACCACTTATTGTTTTGCGACAAGAAACCAAAGACAGATGAAAGAATGTTAAAAATACAAATGTAGAGAAAAGAATGCTAGCTTTAGTATTCATCTTCATTATGACTATATTTTTTATGAGAGTTGATGAAGAAAATTAGATTGTGATTAGTATCATTTTATAGGTAAAATTAACTTAGTGTGAAGCATATAAGAATATGTAGAGTTGAGGAAAATATGGGATTTTGGGCGAATGAATATTAATTAATTTGGAAGAAATATTGTATAAAAGATATATACCAAATGCAGAGTAAGTAAATGAAACATTTTTATTTTTATTTTTATTTTTATTTTGAAATTAAGTTAAATGAAGAGTTTCACTTACCATAAACATGAATGTTATTAAGAGACTATACGTAAAAAAAGATTCATTTAATATAATCTCTTCCTTTTATCATATCAGCTTCCATTAATTAATACGTATATATACTATGCATTGATTCCAATATATGAAAATGACGTAGTCTATTTTTATTTGACAAGTATTAACTTGGTATACTTTTAAAAAAAAAAAAATAGAATTATAATTTTCTTATATCACTCATTAAATATAATGAGTTTAATATTTTGAAAAATAATTATAAGAACTATATGATAACTTGTCTCTCAATTTTTTAAAGTGGACAAGTAGAAGTACTATTTAGATTTCTTTAAATAAAATCATATCATATGCCACTCTTTTGAAAAAATTACCTTAGCGGATATCAAGGTTTAATTGATTTTGAACCTTAACTATAATGTGAACATAAATTCAATATCACAAAAAATCAGTTTTATTAAAGGTAAAATATTTTGGACGTTCTGATCATCACATTTAAGAAATAAATATGGATTGCGTATATTTATTTAGTAAATGTTTTTTTAAAAAAATATTATAGACCACGGGTTCATTCATTTTAAGAAAACAAAATAAAATCTTACGAGAAAAAGTTAGATTACGATCTAGAAGAATCTTAGTACCTCAGTTGGTTAATTATATGAACTTTCAGTAATTTGGTTCATTTCTTGTAATTCTCTCTCCCATTTTTTCTGCCAACTTTTGAAGAAAAAATTCTTCTAATTTTTTTAAGTAATTATAAACGTTAGATAATAATATAATATTTTATAGGTAAGATTGAAAAAAAAATGCAAGTAAACATTAAGCTTGACTCTAACATTGTCCAGAATTGAACAATTTTTTTAAAAGAGGATAATTCTTAATGAAGACTATAAAAGAGAAAATTGCATGTGTATTTATGAGCAAATAACACAAACCTCACTTTAGTCGGGCTTCAATGTAGGTATCGGACACCGAATGGGAAATCAAAAAAAAAAAAAAACTCACTAGTTTAGAGCTTAATTATGTCTTCACTTTAGCTTTCGAAATTATCTTTCATATCACATTTACTTCGCTAGATACATGTATCTGTCACACTCAAACACTTAAATACATGTATCTCGGATACATGCCGGTCTAGTTAGGTGTAATTTATTTCTGATACACTGTATCCAAGTGTGGTTCGCATGTATCTGGAATACACTAACTCTCTCATTATTCACATCTCCCCTATGTCGCTCGTCTCTCCCTTTCTCACTCTCCTCTCTCCCAATGTATTTGTATTTCATAATGTATTTGTAATAAAAGATATATGTATCTAGTGTGATTCGCATGTATCGTGAGATACACCGACACTTTTGTTTATCTCTCTCCAATCTCACTCGCTTCTCTCCTTATGTATTTGTATTTCAGAATATATATAGTATCAGAGATAAATATATCTAACATTTTTAATACATGTATCTAACTTGAAATCTAAAGGATACAAAATTATTAATTAGTGAAATAATATATAATTATTTCAAACAATGTAGTAGATTAGTATTTATAATAGAAATATTTGTGTAATTAGATAAATTTTTTCGTTTATTTATTGGATATCTTATTGTTTATAAAGTTGGAATGAAAATTATTCGTTTTGTAATCCTTTACTAATTTATTTTAAATTGATCTGAAGATAACACATAAAAAATTATTTATTTTTTAATTAATGGTTATAAAAGATCATTTCTTCTGTTCTCTTTCAAGCATTTCAGAACAAAATAATCAATGTACATATACGTAATTATCACATTAATTAATTAGCTAATCTGAATTTTGATAATTTATTTAGTTAATAAGGAAAATATATTATCCTCAATTGAGATATGATTTCGTGTAGAATAAATTAGTAAATGTAAAAATTTCATTTGCAATATTCTGATTGCTAAAATCAAATCTTTTGTGTATAATTTCATATTCTAACAGTTTACAAGTTGTAAAAATCGATCATTAACATAAATATAATTAACAGAATTGTTAGAAAAATAAGAAAATATAATCAAAGAAAAAAGGCTTTGACATGATATCAATGTCCTTAAATAAATATTGCCCCTTATATTTTTAAGGGATGTATATAAGTGTTTCTTTTCAATATTGAATTAGGTCCTATTATACTGTAAAATTTTCTTACGCTATTTTTAAAAAGTCCTAATATATATTTATATAATTTAAAAAGATGACTTTTCAGAATAATAATGGTAGTTCATGAATATTTATGTGTTTATTTAATTTAAGACCTCCAAATTTTACAAATTAATTCAACGATTCTCCCACAAATTTATAATATATCTCATAACATCATGCACACTATGAAGCTAGTATCTTGCACAAATTTGGACTTTCATTAGTGTAAAAATTTTGAAGATCGACAAAATTGATGATATTTTAAGATTTGACCATGCGATTAATCCAAATATTATAAATATTTACAAGATCAACCTTTTAAATCTTATATGCATTAAGTGACACCACTTCAATATTTACTATTTTTTTGATAAATGCTTACCTACCATCAAACGAGGCCCAGAGCGGGATAGACCAAATTTACCGTTTTACATGTGCTATAATCCATTGATTTTGGGTGATACGTGATCTCGGCGGGTTTTTGGCCAAATTTTTTTTGGGCGTCCATTAAGACCTTATTAATGGCGTGAATTGGTCCCGAGGGGCAAATGTTCGCATTTTCAAGCTCAAACGAAACCCAGAGCGGGAATGACTAAATTTATCATTTTTCTATGCTATAGTCCATGAATTTTGGGTGATACGTGATCCCGAAGGGTTTTTGGCCGAAATTTTTTGTGGGGGTCCGTTAAGACCTTATTAATGGTGTGAGTTGGTCCCGAGGGGAAAACAGCCGCATTTTCAAGTTCAAACGAGACCCAGAGCGAGAATGACCAAATTTATCTTTTTATGTGTCCATGAATTTTGGGTGATACACGATCCCAATGGATTTTTGGCCGAAGTTTTTGGTGGGTGTCCGTTAAGACCTTATTAATGGCGTGAGTCGGTCCCGAGGGGAAAACATCCGCATTTTCAAGTTCAAACGAGGTCCAAAGCAGGAATGACCAAATATACCATTTTACGTGTGCTATAGTCCATGAATTTTGGATGATACGTGATCCAAATGGATTTTTGGCCAAAAATTTTTGTGGGCATCCGTTAAATCCTTATTAATGGCATGAGTTGGTCCCGAAGGGCAAACATCTGCATTTTCAAGTTCAAATGAGGCCAAGAGCGGGAATGACCAAATTTACCATTTTACGTGTGCTACAGTCCATGTATTTTGAATGATACGTGATCCCGAGGATTTTTGCCCAAAAGATTTTGTGGGTGTTCGTCAAGACCTTATTAATGGCGTGAGTTAGTCCTGAGGGGCAAACATCTGCAATTTCAAGTTCAAACAAGGCCCACAACGAAAATCATGACAAAATTTATCATTTTACGTGTGCTATAGTCCATGGATTTTGGGTGATATGTGAGCCCGATAATTTTTTGGACGAATTTTTTTGTAGGCGTCAGTTAAGACCTTATTAATAGCGTGAGTTGGTCCCGAAGGGCAAACGTCTGCATTTTAAAGTTCAAACGAGGCCTAGAATAGGAATGACCAAATTTACCATTTTACATGTGATATACTCCATGGATTTTGGGTGATACATGATCCCGATAGGTTTTTGGCCAAAAAATTTTATGGGTATCCATTAAGATTAATGGCGTAAGTTGGTCCCGAGGGGAAAACGTCTACATTTTAAAGTTCAAACGAGGCCCAGAGCAAGAATGACCAAATCTACCATTTTACTTGTGTTCTAGTCAATGGATTTTGGGGGATATGTGATCCTGACTGGTTTTTGGCTGAATTTTTTTGTGTGCGTCCATTAAAACCTTATTAGTTGCGTAATTTGGTCGTGAGGGCAAACATCTGCATTTTCAATTTCAAATGAGGCCTAGAGAGGGAATGACCAAATTTACCATTTTACGTGTGCTATAGTACATTGATTTTTGGTGATACGTGATCCTAATGGATTTTTGGCTAAAATGTTTTGTGGGCGTCCGTTAAGACCATATTAATAGTCTGAGTTGGTTCCGAGGCGCAAACATCTGCATTTTAAAGTTCAAATTAGGCCAAGAGCGGGAATGACCAAATTTACCATTTTATGTGTGCTACAGTCCATGTATTTTGAGTGATACGTGATTCCGAGGGGTTTTGATCAAAAAAAATTATGGGCGTCCGTCAACACCTTATTAATGGTGTGAGTTGGTCCTGAGGGGAAAACATCCGTAATTTCAAGTTCAAACAAGGCCCATAACGGAAATCATGACCAAATTTACCATTTTACGTGTGTTGTAGTCCATCGATTTTGGGTGATACGTGAGCCCGACAATTTTTTGGATGAAATTTTTTGTGGGCGTCCGTTAAGACCTTATTAATGGCATAAGTTGGTCCCGAGGGGAAAACGTCTGCATTTTAAAGTTCAAACGAGGTCTAGAGTAGGAATGACTAAATTTACCATTTTACATGTGATATACTTCATGGATTTTGGGTGATACGTGATCCCGATGGATTTTTGGCCGAAATTTCTTGTGGGTGTATATTAAGACCTTATTAATGGCGTGAGTTGGTCCCGAGGGGCAAACGTCTACATTTTAAAGTTCAAACGAGGCCCAGAGCAAGAATGACCAAATTTACCATTTTACTTGTGTTCTAGTCCAT